TTGAAGGTTAATTCTGAGTGATAAATTTGCTCTTGATTAATAGAAAATTAAGCAATACAATTGAGATTTAGTCTGTTCTAGAGTTAGGGAACTTGTGCCTTCCTTAAAAGAGTAACATTGCTTTCCTATTTCTTTATGCTTGTAATTGTTAAGATTTGCATTGGTTTAATTTTCTATTTTCTACTTTTAATAATTGTTGGCGTAAGATACTCAGCTTTTTACTCAACTGAGTGGAAAGTAGAATGTAAATTAAATAACCAATTGACCATATACTGACAAAATTTCTGAGGAGGTGGCATAGAATATGCCTATCCCGTTATTTAATGTGTTAGCTGCAGTAATTCATGTGCTGGCTTCATCTGTATCATAAACACCTTGAAGTGATGATGAAACTCTTTCAATGTGCTCTATAATGGGTTAATCTTGAAAAGCGTTTGGAAATAGCTGTGGACATAATATGCGGCATCCAAAGTGCTATTCAGTGCAAAGTACAATGATCAGATCATACCAGTATGAAAAAAACAGCTGGTTTTGAAACTATCCAGCTGTTAAATATCTTCAGCATAGGCCCTTTAGGTATGCCCTCATTTGCAGAGACCCATACAAAGGATTTCAATGCTCATTTCCTGAGTGCAACATTTTGAGTGAATTCTCATATCTTTTAAATTCCATGTCTCAAGTACTTATAACTATGGTCTTAATTTGTTTGTATATTTTGCTTTCTAGCCCTTGCCCTGAATATTTCTCAGATGAAAAGATAAGATATAAATTCAATAAATCTCACTGAACCTGGCCTTTTCTACCTATAGATCTGCATAAACTGAATGTACAAGCTAAAATACTCTACTCTTCTCTTATAACTGGACTTTACAGATAAAGATTAGTATATTGGGCAAGTCGGTTTGCAAAGGAACTGTCTTTGTAATTGTTGGTAATCGCAGAACCAAGTAGATACAAGTTTTTTCTTGTGTTTGTGTTTTCTTCAAAGCAGATGCAATTGGTACAGAAGCATAGAGAAATACAATTTTCTTGCTTCATGTTTATCTAATCTAAATCATTCCCCAGAAATACATATTAAATTTAGGAAATATGAATTCAGAAAAAGTTATGTCTGTTATTAAAAAAAACTAGTGCTAACTAAAAATCCCAAAAGAAATATAAAAAAATTGGGATCCCCTGACAAAAATGTGGAATGGCGCAAGTTTTTTGAAATGTGTTACCCTTATGCAGAGATTTCAATTCTTCACTTGGTAATGTGCACAAAAGAGCAAAGATTGTATTGGTTTTGCATAATTGGCACTTTTAGTTAAATAGGCTCAATCCAATATTAATTCAGGAGGCATCACTCCAGAATTCTTACCTTTCGTTCCAATTCTTCATTTTATTCACACAAAAGACAACCTTGCAAAATAGTTGAACTAAGAGAGAATAAGTAGCCCAATGTCACACAGTGAGTTTTCATAACTGCTAGAAGACTCGTACCTGTATATTCTGGCTTCTGGTCCAATCTTCTAATCAATATGCTACAATTTTAATTATTAAAATGTTACCTTTTTTTTTTTTTTTTGCTGTCAGGCATCTTGTGCTGTTGTTGGGTGTTAGAGGATTTCAGTATGTGTTCTGACCCAAACCTTGTTCCAAGGAAACAAACATGAAACAGAGGTACAAGAAAAACGTTTTAATGATTCTTTACGAACTCCGTTCCTTCACGGTTAAAAGGCAGTTTCAAACTAATTGTCTCTGATAAGAACGAGCCTTGCCAAGGTTATGCAAGGCTGCCAAGAACACTAGATAAAGTTGCCAAGAAATATTTCAAACACCAAGAGTCTCCAAACACCAACCAAGATATTCCAAACGTCCACAAGGCCCTGAGTGCAAAATTTTCTTTGCTTCTTGCAAAGAACTCTGGTTTCTCAGCTGGCTTTTATCTCTTAAGGGAGGGGCCATTACTGTGCTGCCTTACTTCCGAGTCGCCCGTGCTGCTGCAACTGCTCTGGGCACAGGCTCCTCGGGGACCTCTTCATCACTGCTGCCAGCTTCCACAAGCTCCGAAGGCAGCACTCCACTCCCTGATGGTCCTGGCCCCATCCCTGCATCACACGCAGGCCCCTTGTCCGAGTCCTCACTCTCCGAGACACCAGCCGTCCACACCTGCTGCTGATGAACCCCAACAGTATGCTGCAGAAAGTTTTTTGAGGTAGTAGGTGAGGGATGTGGAGCCGGTCTACAGGGCTACTGTGGAACACGCCCTAAGCTTTTTATCTTGATGTGGCAGAAAAATTGGTGGTGTCAATCCTAGTGATGAGCAGAGAGCAACCCCTTTCAGTGGGTGTGCTCAGGCAGCCGGAGCATGTCAGGCTGCTGGCGGAGGTTTGATGGTCTGGAGTGACAATGACATAGCACCCGTAGAGAACCATCAGCAGTGCAGCAACAGTGCTAAATGCCTGTTTTTCCACTGGAGTTATAGGAGCTGGGAGGAAGCCAGTGAAGGACTGAAGGCAAGTGCCATATCAGCAGTAACACCAACCAGATGTTTTTGTGGGAGGCCATCCTCGAAACTAGCAGTACTAAACAATGTTCATTTAGTCTCTACGCTTGCCTTTCTGGCCAAGGTCACCGAGGAGGCGGTAGGTCAAGGTCCTGGTGGTTATCTTTAGACATGAGATGGGGCCAGGTTGCTTGTGGGACTGCCTCACCAAACCTTTCCGCCTGCCATTGAGGCAGTGTCACTTGGTGGGTCCTTGGAAGACTGCCTCCTTTCTCATGGCACCTGTCTTGGGGATCAAATATCCTCCTTGAGATACAAGCAACCTTCGCAGGGCTGTGAAGATTTTGGACCTTCTCCTTGGAGTCAAAGTGCTCGTAAGAGCTCTGATACGGTTGAGGTGCATTTGTTCCTGAGATCGCTACCGTTGATGCTTTGGATTGTGTTTCTGTTTCATTTTTACCTGCCCAACACCTAGGGTGCCTTTGATAGATGGGCAGCCATAGAAGTATGATAGATAGATGATAGATAGATAGATAGATAGATAGATAGATAGATAGATAGATAGATAGATAGATAGATACTGGTGTTTCTTATTCATATCAGTATGTTGATCTTTTTTGAGGGGAATAAATTTCATGAAATATTTGAGCAGAGGTTGTTTTGCTTGATTTCAAAGCTAATGGTAACAGTGCATCAGTTTACAATAAAAAGGGAGATTTGGGGCAGCTGATTTTGGTAGCTGGTTTCCATAGAAGCAGCTCAGAACAGTATGTGTCTATTAGGGAAATCCATAATTAACTAACTGAATGCAAACATGGGGGAATTCTTTTATGTTTCTGTTCTGCCGATAATTGTTTTTGGTTACTTAGCTCGTCTATAAAAATTCTGTTTACTTCAGTTGAAAACTGATGTTGCTTTTTCTTTTAATGAATCAGATTTAAGCTTTAGGTCTGTCAAAATCAATATTGCAATTATTCATCGTTATAATGCCCAAGTTTTTTGTTTTTTGTTTTTCAACTGAGAACAGCTGTTAAAAAGGCAGGTTGGGGTGTGTAGTGAGTCCGGAGCAAGAAGCAAGGAATCCTGGACCAGATACAGGTAGTCCTTGATTTACAACCAGAATTAAACCCAACATTGATGTGGTTAAGCGAAAATTTCTTCAGTGAGTTTTGCCCCCATTTTACGACCTTTCCTGCCACAGTTAGGTGAATCACTGCAGTTGATAAGTTAGTGACCTGGTTGTTAAGTGAATCTGGCTTCCCCATGGCTTGTCAAAAGATTGCAAAGAGTGATCACATGACCTTGGGGGCACAGGAATGGTCCTAAGTAAGAACCAGTTGCCAAGCACCTGAATTTTGATCACATGATCAGGGGGTGCTACTAAGGCTGTAACTGTGAAAAATGGTCATGTCATTGTAACTTTGATCAGTTGCTAAACGTTATAAGTCGAAGACTACCTGTAGTGTAGGAGATGACCAGGCTGAGCCTGAGGGAGGGGTCAAATGCATCATAAGTCTCGCATCCCTGCACCCACAAGAGATCTAAATCCAGCCCATCTTGAATAAGCATAAGCGCACCAACGTGCCTACCGTCCCTGTCCTATTGTTTTCTTATTTTTCTTATATGTATCCATGTATTCATAGCTATGTTTTTACTCATACCTATTATCTTGTAAGCAATTGACAAACTAAATAAATAAAATAATAAATGAATGTCTTCCTTCTCTACCACTAATTTTCCTCAACCCTTAGTAGTCCAGATCCTTATAGAGAGCTTAAGCTTGCAATAAATCTTTATACTCAGTTGAAGGGCCTGAATCTCCTGATTTCCCCAGCGCTTGACATACAGTATCGCTTTGTAAGCCTGTGCCAGATGTAACCAAATGGCCATCATAAGAAGCAGGTTTGAAACAATTTGTTACAAAAAATCAGGGAAAAGAATCCCAGTATTTAAGTTGTTATATATCTGGTTGTTAGTCTTCGTTAGAAATTTATGGTGTAAAAGTTGATGCTTTCTGTGTAAAGCAGGGCTCGCCAACCTTTCGGACCTCAGGGACCGCTAAGTTCATAAATGACATATATAAAAAACGCAAACAATTTTTCTGCGGATCACCAAAATTTTCTCGCGGATGACTGGTGGTGACAGCTGGTGTAAAGTACCTTATCTTGAAAGCCATCCTTGACTTCCCACAAAAGCATGTCACAGATTAACAGATAATCAGAGTTGGAAGGGACCTTGTAGGTCATCTAGTCCAACCCCCCTCCCAAGCAGGAGACCCTACACCATTTCTGACAGATCCAGTCTCTTCTTGAAAGCCTCCAGGGATGAAGCTCCCACAACTTCTGAAAGCAACGTCTGCTCTATTGATTGATTGTTCTCACTGTCAGAAAATGTCTCCTTATTTCCAGGTTAAATCTCTCCTTGTTCAGATCTGTAATCTCTAGATTTTCTGGGAGCAATCCTTCCATTATTATAATTTCTGCTCCCACTATGCTGCTGAAAAGAAAAAGCTTAGAATAATGGGACGAAATAACTGTACAATGAGATTTTTCTCCCACTATTATTCTTGGTGTTCCAGAGAATACTCCAACTCTTTAGAACTGATTTTGATAGAGGGGGAAACTTAAGAGGATATTTTACTACTGTATTGTTCTGACAGCAGAACGATTTCGTTAGATTCTGTATGTAGCAGGTTGGCTCAGCCTACAGAGTGGCATGTTGGAGGTCTCAAACCTACTTTGGAAACCCTTTGAATATCCACTCCTTGTTTTGGCTCCTGCTGTGGGTTGGTTAATACCACTGATCGGTGACTTTCCTGACATCCTCTCCCTTATCTTGCTATGGGTGAAAGATCTGACTCTCACAACCTGAGCTGTCCAGTTGGCAATTAAAAGGTACTGACGAAAAAAAAGGCTCTGATGCAAACTCTGGCGACTAGACAATTTAACTCTTCCTTTGGGAAATAAACCAATTTCACAAGTCATGAGCAAAATCAAACTTTTAAAATGCAAGAATCCCTGTTTACAGAAATCCCTGTTTACATAGTTAAATGCGAGTAGGTGGGGTGAGTAAAGAGAAACTACAAAATAGATAATGCAATGCTCTGGACTCACAAGGTGGTGCTTGTAATGGGCCGTGGGAATAACCTTGAGGAAGAGGAGGAAGAGCTGCAACCAAGGCAATGGTCAAATAAGAGTCCAGAGCAGGAATGGAATTTGGGAAAGGCGCTTAGACTGGACCCTCCTCTTTAGGATAAAGGCATGGTAGGGAGAGGCACATGCACAGTTGCAAGGTTCTATTATGGAAACCCTGTAATAAAAGCGGCTTTACTATACATGACTTTGGGGTTCAAGTCTGGCCTACCTTGCAGGGCCGGTAGCACTGGTCTACTGCAAATTCTCTCCCAAGGCATTTGAAACAGGAGTCAAATTATTCCAGAAAAAAAAGGTATTTTAATATAATTAATAACCTTGTACATGTGTGAGTTTTATGTAAATTGGACATAAAGCTCAGATTTATAATTAGGAGAGAAATGGAAAAAATTGGCACCACAGAGTAAAAAAATAAACACCAGTGTAATACGGAATCCTGCTAATTATTTTTACCTATGCCTACAGAAATAAACTATTGTTATCTGTTTTAAATTACCTGGCTTTTCTTCAGATTCTTGGAGATTCCAAAATAGAATCAGAAACTGGGGAGAAAAAAGTGTTAGCTATTGGCTTTTCCCAACCCAGTTCACAGCTTCTGCTCTTGTTTTTCATTCTGTTAAAACTTCTTTATATATGGAAATACCTGACTCTCCAAACATGACAAGGCACCTATCTCCTTTGTGAATATAGATTGAATTTGAGATGAGGGAACATATATACTGTGTCTGAGCTTGCCAATATTGCCACCTACAGCCGCAACTCCATCGAAGATTGAGAATGTTAACAAGGCTTTGAAATCTGTGGAGTTATGAGGATGTAATATCAGGTAAAGCCTGCTGCTTAGGGAACCAGATTAGCTTATATGTCAAACCACCTATAGGGCAATATTACTACTGTCCTCATCTTTCCTATTACCTGTTTCCTTAGCTTCTTAGGACTATAACTTTGTTGTTTTCTTGTGATCTACCGTATATGCCGGCGTATAAGACGACCCCCCAACATTTCCACTCAAAATATAGTTTGTTATATACTCGCCCCCTCTTCCGCACGCCTTCCACTTTTGCACTTTTTTTTTTTTGAGGCACTTTTGTCTACCGTGGAAACGAATCCCGTGAAGCTGAAAGGAGCAGCCAGCCTTCTCCCAGCTCCCAAGGAAACGAGGCTCGCACCGCCCGGGCTCCGCTGAGGTATCCGGCTGGGGCTGTCAGGAGTTGTTACCGCTGGCGCAGCTCCGCGTTGCCTCGGGAAGGGAAAGGCAAAAAGGAAGAGCCGCGGCGGCGCTTTGCAATGGCAGCAGCGGCTCCTGGTTTTGCCTTTCCCTTCCCGAGGCAACGCGGGACTGGAGCCGCGCGGAGCTGCGCCAGCGGTAACAACTCCTGACAGCCCCAGACGGATACCTCAGCGGAGCTCGGGCGGTGCGAGCCTCGTTTCCTTGGGAGCTGGGAGAAGGCTGGCTGCTCCTTTCGGCTTCACGGGATTCGTTTCCACGGTGCGCAAAAGTGCCTCAGCCGCGGGCAGCCGCAGTGCTTCCCAATTACTATTTGCCGGCGTATAAGACGACCCGGCATATAAGACGACCCCCCCAATTGGAGGCATGTTTTTCAGGGCAAAAAAGTCGTCTTATACGCCGGCAAATACGGTATGTTGATTTTTTTATTGAGTATCCTATTATAATTTATGTTGATTGCTTATTTATGTTGATCCTATACTATCACTTGAGTGTTGTATCTTATGATTTATGATTATTGTATTTTATGATGATGATCATGATTTATCACTTGTTGCTTGTGTCTACGTGGAGAGCTTCTGCAACTGGGAAAAAGTTCCTTGCGTGTGTCCAATCACACTTGGCCAAAAAAGAATCCTATCCTTATTCCATTGCCATTCCATTTTGCATGTACAAGGTAACAGGTAAAGGTGATTTGCTATTTGAGAATGGCCCACAGTTGTTTGTTGCAAACTTTTTTTTCCATATCTTAAAATAATGAATATATGCTTCAAAACAATAAATGATTTTGTCAGATTCTTTAAGTCTCACTAGAAGCACTAAAAGAAGCTAATTTCAGTAAAATGCAGAGGCGTGGAATGTTACTGAGCTCTGAGAAATGCAAGATCCATTTTGTTTTCTTTATTAAACTTACCATGCTGCTCGTTTTTGAGCTTTTTGTGGAGCTTAAAATAAATGTAGAGTTTTGCTCATAGGCTTACAGATAATCCTGTCTCCTTATTGTCTCCTAAATAAATAAATAAAAAGTTCCACAGATTCCATAGCAGGATGGCTTCAGTAGATCTTTTCTCTGGCAGTATTGGCAGCTGCTATAATGATTATTAATGTTGAAGGGCCTTGGTGATATCAGATATAAATCTAAAGTCTAGACTCTAGACGTTCTCTCATAAAATAATAGATAAAACGAATGTGCATGTTGATAGTGTCACACTTTATATTAAATATTCCGGGCTAACTAACAAAGTGATTCAAACCTAAGTTGAATCCCTAATAAAATGATTTCTTACTGCTTTTTGTTCAGGACAGCCAGTAGAGGTGACTTCGTATTTTCTGCTGATCGCTTGGTAAGCCATATTTTTCATGTACTATGTTATGCTCATTCATGAAGGTGTTATTACCATAATGACTCCACCCTTAAGCATAGATTATTTAAAAACCAGTCATTAATATTAATGATATAGTTTGATTATTATATTGTGCTTTCCTATTGTCCTGTTCCCCATTTATGTCAGAGGTATGGTTTAGGGCAGGGGTCTCCAACCTTGGCAGCTTTGCTGACTGAGGAACTCTGGAAGTTGAAATCTACAGGTATTAAAGTTGACAAGGTTGGAGACCCCTGGGTTAGGGTGCTTCCAGCTTGAATTAGCTGGTGACATCCCTGTTGCCTGGGGGGCATCCATGGGGGCTCCTCTGATGTCCCCATCAAGGAACTGGAGCGAATAGTGGGAACTCACCCCACCCACAAGCCCAGCACTCTCAAACGTGGACTTGCTGACCTCCAACCCAGGGCCCTACACATGAGCAAACACACTCCTTGTTTTCCTATTGCAATTCCATCAAAGTTCAGTGAGTTTTGTTAATGAAAAATTTGAATTCAAACAAATACTATTTTTTTAAAAACAGAATTTTCTTTTTCCCAGCGGCAAGATACATTTGCTTGTTTTACCAAGTAAAATACTTCCACATAAAAATTTATACATAAATCTTTAGGATATATATTCAAGAATACATATGGATTCTGAATCAGTTGGTATTTTTACTTAATGTAACCAGACTATAGGACTATTGTTGTATTTCCCAATATCAGTTTTCTTGGAAATACCTATTTACATGGAATCCATACGTTTTTCTCCACTTGATAAATAGCGCTAGTTGATTCATGGAGATGGCCCCCTGCTTGTGGTATATACAACTGAAAGTGCGAAAAGCCATCCTTCAAGCGTGTCTTGGAAATCTTGTTTTGTTGCTTGTTGAAACATTCTAAAATCAAAGAGTTAAATAAATAAATGCTGTTGTTTGTATTGGTTCAGCAGTAATGCCCATAGATAAGGAGAGAATCCTCCAAGATATTCTGTTTATCCACCGTTGTGGCTGTCCTATGCAGTTAGACCTCAGCTTACAACCATTCGTTCAACGACTGAAATTACGACGGTGCTGAACGAAGGGACTTGGGACCTGTGCCCGACGTTACAGCTGTTGCAGCCCTCATACATGATCACATGATCAAAGCTCAGGGGTGCAGCCGCTCACTCACCCTTAGAACTGGCCGCAGCTCTTGCCTTCTCTCTCCCTCCCCACCATTTATGCCCTTTAATGCTGGGGAGGTTCCAGTGGTGCATGAAGCAGCCACCTCGCCAGGACCGAACATCTGGGAAGTCTTCACAGCAGGGTACCTAAGCAGCTGCCCACAGCTGGCTCCAAAGGCCAGGAGACTCTCCAGAGTGGGAAGCAGGCCCAACCCCACCCCTGAAGCCCCGAATCCCTGGGAAGCTCCAGCGCAGCTGCCCTCACTGCCCTCCCCTGCCCAGTGCCAAGTGGCTTTCACCGTTTTCTTCCTCCCAGGAGGCGGCTCCACCTCGCCCTTTACCAGGAAGAAAAAGTTAAAGGCAGCCACTCAGCTGCGGTGCCTTAAAATGCCCCTTTCCCCACTTTCCTGGGTGGGGCTGGAGGACTGCAGCCACTTCCTGGTGAAGGGGGGGGGAAGAAGAACTGCCCTTACTTTCCCACAGCAAAAGTTTAGCACATCTCTCTTCTTTTTCTGTGCAAAGGGCCAGACTGGACATGCTTCATAAGCTCAATCATAGTATTAACTTAAAGAACTTTTGGCTTCACTTTCCTGGGTTAAAACCATCAAGCACCTATTCCTAGAAGAGATCAGTGTCAATGGAAATGATTCCTATGATCGGGTGGCACTTGGCGAGTCAGTTGCCAAATGCCCAAGATGGGAGGTGGGCAACATTTTATGATGGCCAGAAGTGCTTAATGGCCATAAAACAACCTTCCTGAGGCTTTTGTAATGGTCATTAAACAATTGGCAATAAGTGGAGGATTATCTGTAGGCTTAGTTTAGGCAGGAGACAAATTTTGCTTACAATAAAAGTGAGAAATGCTTTTATTGAAACTTTGGTTTTGCTGTGATTATTTGAATTTTACTTCCCTTGCAGATCAGACTCGTAGTTGAAGAGGGATTAAATAGACTACCCTACACAGAATGCACAGTGACCACTCCAACAGGTAAAAAGAAGGTAGAAGCTCCCAAGGCGTGGGAATGTCCCAGGCCAAATTATATAAAGGTTAATAAACATTTGTTCCAATGGTGCTGAATGAGGAGACACGTCTGGACCTTGAAATTGGGCTCATTGCAGTGTTCCCACAGTCGTGTAATTGTAATTCAGGTGCTTGGCCACTGGCTCACAGACTGTTGCAGTATCCCACAATCACATGATCACTATTTACAATCTTCACTACAGGTTTCAGGCAAGCAGTCCATGGCAAAGCTGGCAGGAGGTTGCAAATGGTGATCGTTGGGCTTAAACCACCTAATGACTGGAACTGCCATCCGAAGTTGATGCAGTCGTGGGCTGTGTTGCGTTACGACCATGTCATTTAGTGATTGAGTTCCTGGTGCCATTTACTGTTGCTAACCAAGGACTAACTCTATTTAGTGCAAAGCTAAAAGAGATAGATAACACATGGATAAGATATCGTACAGTTAGCGCAAACAAACAAAATTATTAAACAAAACACAGAATGCTCTTTAGCAGCAATTCAAATAAATTCCTTAAGAAATCGCTCTCTGGTTTTTGTTGTCCCGGGCATCAAAGAACAGCAAAATTTAATAGATTTCTAAAGAGATCACATAGGTGACCTGCCTTAAAATGATAAAGACTACATGACATCCTGATGTAAATATATATACTGTATTATATGTTTCTGTAGCAGATGGCTTACATGCTTATCGGTAGTTCAGGTTGAGCAACTAAATCTTGAGGTACACAAATAAAAATCCAATAAACAGAAGGCTATTTTAGCTCTGGTCATTCAAATGCAGGTAATCCTCATTTAGCAACCATAATTGGGACGAGCAACTCTCATTAAGCAAAGCAGTCGCTAAGTGGGACATCCTGTGACTGCAACTGTATTTTCCTTTCCTCAACAACCCCACCCTTTAGAACGCTTATCCTGGTGTGCTAGCAGAAGGGAACTGCGTTCAGTGAAGAGGAAGGATTGCAAGAAGGCAAGCAGATACATACCAAAAGGAATGCGATGGCACTGTTAGCCCCCCGAGTCCGTTTGGCAAACCAGTGTATTTCCCATTGTTCCTCTTTTGTAATCCCTTCCTCTCCAATCTCTCTGTTGTACAGGGAGGGGGGGGGGAATCAGGTCAGGCACACCCTTGCAGAACAGAAAGGAAAGGATTGGAAAGGAAGGAGTAACGAGAGGAAACGGGCACACAATGGGAAATATACCGTGCTGTTTGGGTAGCATGCTCCTGGCTGCCAGGGCCAGTGAATTGCTTTAAATGTGTATTTCCATTGTATGATTTACAATCTGTTTAAATCCCTTCCTCTTTAGTGTTTCTGCTTATAAGGGGCGGGGGGGGGGGAATAAACAACAGGTCAGACAGAGAACAATGTGCACTGATTATAATGGTGACATGTGACTGCGAGATGCTGTTTCTAGCTGATTGGAACTTTGCGTTATTGTGCATCTGACCCTAGATTTGATTCAAGTGAGTCTGAGAAACGTTGCAACTATAATTAACTAGCAAGGAGATGATAAATTCACTTACTTCGTATCAATATGTCCTTCTAATAGTTTGAGAGCTTTTATGTAAGCAAGAGCTCTATATTGTCTGATTCATAGATTAGATCCAGTTAGCAATAAGATTGTGTTTCTTATTTTATCGTCTTATTAAAGGAGTCTAAAGCTCTGGTAACGGTGAAGACAAAAACCCCTTTAGGCTGAGCATTCCTCCTGAAGATTTCATGACTACATCCATGTAATTTTCTTGGAAACCATATAGCTTTACAATTATCCATGTCTCAATATATTTTAATTTTCCAGCCTGGGATTTCCTAGAGGTCTTTAATACAGATATGGACAGGTTCAAATTGGCTATGTATTTTGGTTTTTTATTTGTTTCTGCTGTGGTTGGCCAGGTGTTAATTAGCTTCAGATGTTCAAAATCATAATTCTAAGCAAGAAGCACTATTATTTCATTCTGGCAGAAATGGCTGAACCAGCTGCATTATCAAGCCAGAGTCTACAATATATGATTGGAACAATAGTCTGTAAATAAATAGAGTTGTCTGTAGAGGCTGTAAATAAATAGTCTGATAATAAATAGAGTTCTCTTAATTTTGCTTGGACTCTTGCTCAATGCATTAGCCTAAAAATAGCTTTCTTGACCTGATTCGTTCCTACATGCAGGCTGCAGTTTTGGAAGTCACAGGGGAAACCTCTTGGAAAATTGGGGAAGGCTTCAGGAAACCAGTCAGGGAGCTTCCATAGTTATTTTGGTACTTCTTTGCAGATGTGACTGGATTCTTTCTTCAGATTTCTGATTTGAAGTCAGAATATGAAAGACATATACAACTAATTATTCAACAACATCAACTCAGTGAGTTTTTCTATCTCTGTGTGTATCCCCCCAAAAAAGTACGGACTAAACTTTAGAAAGGAAATTTATTGACTACTGTACAGATAGTAATGAAATTTCAACACTTAAAAAGTTTGCAATGAAAGTGCATTTTAAGTTAAATTTTATTTCTCATCACTGAAGGTCAACCATTGCAATATTGTCCTTTCTTTCTGTGACTGTTCCAAATTTATAAGACTTCCTGTTTTCTTATTTAAACATGTCATTGCAGTAAAAGCTGTCTGGGGAATGAAGTTACTAGGTTTACTACTGAATAACTTGAAGGATACCAACTCCGGAGAAACTTCTTTATTTTTATCAGAGTAAAAAATTCTTTATAACAAATAAAAAGAATATTTATGTCTTTTCAACAGGGTACAAATATGAAGGAGTGAAATTTGAAAAGGGAAACTGTGGGGTCAGCATAATGAGAAGTGGTAGGTCACTTAAAATTTCCTTGTGTGCTTGTTAGTATTTCTTATTATTAATCACGTTGTATCACGTTATCGATAACACCAGAATGCAGATTGGAAAATAATGCACGGGCCTCGCCTAAGCAAGATAGTCAACCCCATTTAGGAAAATACCATAGAATTATAATGAGGTTGAGAGTGCAAATGCCAATTTTTAAAGTGAGTGACCCCCCCTTGCTTTTCTTCGCTGCATAACGTCTTCCTGTTTCCCTCTCCCAACGAAGGGGAGGCCATGGAACAGGGCTTGCGCGATTGCTGCCGATCTATACGAATAGGGAAGATCCTGATCCAGAGCGACGAGGAGACGCAGAGAGCCAAAGTGTACTATGCAAAATTTCCGCCAGACATCTACAGAAGGAAAGTCCTCCTCATGTACCCCATTCTGAGTGAGTGCTTTAAAGGCGGTATCGGAAGCTGTGTGGGCTGCAGAGGGCTCGGCTGGAACAGAGATAAGCCAGTGAGGACAGGCTTAGCTTGTGATGAGCTGCAAAATACACCCATTGCATGCTTTGCTGGAAGGTCTAGTCCAGAGGTCTCCAAACTTGGCAACTTTAAGATTTGTGGACTTTAACTCCCAGAATTCCCCAGCCAGCTTTGCAAATGGAGCTGGCAAAATATGGATCCTAGGCTGCACATATTGAGTAAGAGGCGTCTAGTCATATAAAACGAATAATGGGAGTTTGCCAATGTAATGTAAGTAATGGCACGCCTATGTAGAATTCCACAGATTTTTAAAATCTTCATGAAATACTTGGTAATCGGCTATTTCTTTCCAAGTTCTAAACTCTTCTGCTTAGCCAAATGCTTCGCCGAAATTTCTTAAAAGAAATTGGGAATAGATTGTGCCACAATTAGACTCTAACTCCAGTTGTAATTATACTGAAAGGAAAGATGACTCTGACACACACACACAAAGCTTGAAAAGACAAGTTGGATAATCCACCTTTGCTTCCTTCCCTCTCTCTTCCCACTCCTCCCCCCCCCCCCCCCCCCCAATGGATCAGGCACTGGCAACACGGTGATCGAGGCCGTAAAGGTCCTCATAGAACACGGGGTTCAGCCCAACGTTATAATCCTGCTGAGTCTCTTCTCTACCCCCCATGGTAAGTTCAGGCAAACTAGTAGCAATTCATAAAATAAAGGTATTTGTGGTAAAGAGTTTAAGCTCTCTTTTCATCTGAGGAGATCCATACACGTGCTGGAAACGGGAAATTATAGACCACAGTAGAGTTGATTTCTTTAAAAAGTGGCAGATGGTCAGCATAGATCTACAACCAAACAAATATGTAAAGCTAATGAGCACTCGATCAAGCAATCTGTTACACGGAGAAACATAATCATAACCCCTTCTGTTGCAAGATTTTGAAAAACAGACTGTCTGGTTGTACTTCAGAAAAGGCATGGATGTGAGCATCCTCCAAATATTGTAGATACAATTAGAGATGGGAGTGAATAATTATGAATATAATCCTTAAACGTTTGAAAAGATTTTCAACATTGCTATGTAGTGAAATCCTTTCATGTTAGAAAAGGCAGACTAAATGAAGGGAATTGTGTATGTGTATTTGATGCCTATGAGGACACAGCTAAATTTTTTCTTATGCAAATAAGAATATTCTAGAGTGTCATTTCTGTATTATAGAAGTATCATTGAATTTCTTGTTTGACAGCTGTGGAAACTGTCACATGTAAGCTTTCACATAGAAATTAACTACGTCCAAAGGAAATGCAACTGGGAAAGGGGGGGGAAAGGAATTTATGTCAACTTTTGATTAAAGCTTGTAATAATTGGATAACGGTATATTCCAGAAGTAGAAAATCAACATAGCTACATATATAATTTAGTTTTCTTTTTTTTTAAAGGTGCCAAATCAATAATCCAGGAATTTCCAGATATCACAATTTTGACAACAGAGGTTCATCCAGTCGCTCCTACACATTTTGGGCAGAAGTATTTTGGAACAGACTGAAGTACTTAGCCCGTTTGTGTTTTGTTACTGTAAGATATTACACCATTTTTCTACATTTTATAATTTGAAGTTGAGGTATCTATGGGAATATTTAACATCTTTGGGTTTGGTTTGGTTTTATTTTTGTCCAAAGGTGGAAATAGTTGACCTGCACTAATTTTTTTATTTAAATGGATAGATACTTGATCTTAAGTCTAGTTTTTGTTTTAATAATGAGATGGGGCAATAAAGCAGACCACAGACATCTAATGTTGGGTTATTCAAATTGTTGCCCTCTACTTTATTTATTCTTTGTAGCCAATTTGGCTGATTGCAACGGTAAAATAAACTAACTGTGAAGGCACCATTGTCTGTATCTTTCATTGTTTTTATAGTGCAACTGGACTTTTTCCTGGAACAGATGGATTTTTCACTAGAAACCATTGGTACATTGGTGCCAGTCTTTGGATATAACTTGTTTTTGTAGATTGCATCCTTAAGCTGTATAGAAGTTGTGTAACTATAATAAAGATGTGTAAACAAAATGCAGGCACAATTCAAAAGATGGTGTGTGCAAAACATGACACTACTCACACTTGCTCGCATATGGAATATATGGACTAGGGGAAGAGGCAAGGCCATTGAAGAGGCAAGTCCCATCAGATCTGGGTTGCAGAATTTGGAATAGTCACACCATAGTGGCAAAGGGATTCAGAAAACACTTCACCTTTGCTGCCATCTGGTGGTTGCCCAGATTTTTATACCACAGGTCAGTTAGTTTTCTTTTGATAGTAAATCTTACTGATTTTTAAATTAAATACAATTAATAATACAAAGGAGAACAATTAAAGACAAAACTAATGTTTCATTTCACTGCAGGTGACTTGTACACAATTTTAAAGCAAACCATATCAGAAAGATAATTGCTTTATATTGAAAACAGCCATTATAGGTCACTGTCTGGACAATATTTTTAGCTTGGCTATGATGCATCAGTAATTGTCTCCTGGTTGCTAATCAGCTGGTACCCTACAACCACAAACCATTTTCATTTTTCTGTTCATCATCAGACCTAAGGATATTTATTTTCATTTCTTTTAAGAGCACATTTTACTTCTTATTAAAATATGTTTTAGGTATATTGGACATTACTGCTAAAATCTTAAGCTTGGAGATGGTTAGATAAGATGTCCTCTGGTTGGAAACTGAGTCTGTGACTAACAGAACCTGAGTAAAAATCAGCTAAATCATAATGGCAGATTACATCATACAAAACAAGAGAAATACATTAACCCAGTCTGGACTCCTGGTATTTGGATTAAAAAATGCAGCATTACACAATACATTTTAACATATTTAAATAATCAAAGGTAATTCTACAAAACATTTTTATTGTGAAATATTTCCATGCTGTAGACTGCTACATGATCACGAACATACATTTTTTCAGTTAATGAACCTGAGAGAATGTAACCGTTAAAACATTCAGGAGACCCAACAAGAACAGCAGAATATGATACAACCAAGAGATTCTGAGAATCCTTAGGAATGATTATGCTCCACTATACTGTACTTAAGTAATCGTTTTGTACGTTTCTGATTATAAAATCAAATGGGGAAATCCACTCTTTGATAGATCATCAATGAAACAATTGTATCTTGATTATACAATACCAAAGAAAAGGCCAGGATGGGATTATTCTAGATAGAGAACAAAATATTTAAAAGTATAGAATAAAGGGCTATGCAATTTGCTGCCACCCCCCGCTCCGCCCCCTGAGATGATTAATCAGTAATATCCAAACTAAAGGTTAGTGCAATTTTACAACAACACTCAATGATTAAAACAAAAAAAAGACTTGCCAAAAGTATTTTGCAAAAGTGCAGTCAAATCAATAGCTGCTGGTGACTCATGCAAGTGTTTGACAAGATTCATCCATTCTTTACTTTCTACATGTGGTCTTTCACTGAGTAATCTTTCCTCCCTGCCATAGGAAGTAACTATTATTTAAACTGCTCTTAAAAGGTCGGAGAAAGAATTGAAATCTAGCTACAATCTATTAAGTAGAAGTAAGTATTTTTGAGAAATCACTGGTACCTTCAAGTAAACTCGTTTACGACTCTGCTACACGAAACACAATCCACTTTAAAAATTCTACGAAGGTAAAATCAGCTCTCTTCTTCCATCAGCCCTGGCCAACACAACCACATTTTAATGCATTTATCAGTGTTTTCAGGCAGGTCCTGATATACTTGTTTTGTTTGTGGTGGGAAACAAGCAGTGCGACTGGCAAAACAGCAAACCTCTTTTGTTTGTACTGTTGCATTATTACAAGGCAGACATTTCAGGAGATTGAGCTCAAGCAGCTTCGGTGGTACTCACAGCCCTGTTCTGCATACCTTCACTGTTGATGGGTCACAGACACATGTGAGAGTGCAGCTATATTAGATCTTCCCAAAAGTTGAGAAGGGAGGTAGACAGGATACTGCAGTGTTTCTTAACCTTGGCAGCTGGAAGAAAGCTGGCTGGGGAATTCTGGGAGTCCAGCCATTTTCCAGCTGCCAATGTTGAGAAACACTGAGATATTGTATGTCCCTATCTCTGCAATATACCTAGGTGAGTTGAGGAGGAAGGAATGGTATGTATATGTCACATTCAATTTGTCATTATAGATACGTCATGGTCCTGCCTTGTTACGAGTAAATTGTGCTTTCAGTTGTGCACCACACCTTACATGAGAAACAGTTATAGGTTGGGGCCAAATAAACATTTCTTACATCGTGTTAGCTGACCCTCACTATATCGGCATGCAACAACGATAGTATTCAACAATTCTGATGATCTCCAAAATTTAAGCTATATACAGAAGGCCAATTCTTTTAAACACAGATTTCGTACCTAACTACATTTGTCTCGCTGTCCTTAGCAGACCTCAATGTGATGCTTTCAGTTTTGTGGTGAGAATGGGATGCACGCTGTTTGCAAAGACCCTTCGGTTGATTTCCCGGGACCACTCTCTGCTGCTCCATCTTCTCAGAAGGACATTTCATGCCAGGAATACGTGGGCAATGTGGAACCATGGGAGCCTTTGTGAAGTTTCTGAATCTGGGACATTCCAGCATGGAAAAGTTCCACCTACATTAACGCCAAACCGGTTCCATGAATAATGCTGGACAAAGTGCAAATTTTATAGCTCCAGTGCACAAAGGTTATTTTGTTCCGCAACACAAGGCAAGATTTGCCACAAATGAGTCCCAATACTAGGAAGAAGATACTTCTCACAATCCAAAGTTGTGTTTAGATTGATGAAAATGTGTGGCATTTTGCACACCCGTGATTGCTTTAAAAATGGCTTAATGTATGAAAAGTATACCTTTGCTGGTTGCAACAACAAAACTAATAGTTAAACGTAATAGGAATCTAGAGACAAACATCACAATATTGGATCATAATTCAAATGCTATAGAGCAGAGGTCTCCAACCTTGGCCACTTTATGGTGGGTGGACTTCAACTCCCAGAATTCTGGTAATTGAGGTGCCACCCAGTTTAAAGTGGCCAAGGTTGAAAACACTGCTATACAATACCATAAATTCCTTAAGTAGCCATTTAAGGCCTTTAATTTCTTCCTGATACTCAAAAGAATATGCTTGCAAATAGTCTTATTACTACCCTTCCTCCCTGCTTCGGAATTTCAGTTGGTCCTAAGAAATCACAAAAAGGCTAACGAGATGACTAAATACTAGTTATAATATTCTCCGTGGAGCTGCTGCGAGCATCCAGACAGTGGGAGGTGCTCCAGTCTTCACTCTAATAGGCTGAGCTATAATTGAGGAACGCTCCTCCTCCTCCATGTGACTCCTCCATGCGTTCCCCCAGTTTTAGCTCAGCCTCGCTAGAGACAGGCAGCTTGTTCGTTTATTCCTTGGCCGATCCAGGTTCCTTTTGCTTTTTTCTGCAATTCAGGTTTGATCTCTCCTTTCTCCTTGTTCCCTGCGCTTTTAGTTTTCGTCCCAAATTTAGTTTAGGAGCTTTTTCGCTCCTTAAGGGGGGAAATAGGGGGTTTGGAGCCCTTTGCCCCCCCCCACCCCCCTCCTCTTCCTCTGCCATTTTTCTAGCCACGCTACAGCTGAGAAGCAGCTTGAGATCGCGCTATAGATAGCGCTGCGTTGCGCCTTCCCCCCACGAACACTTAGAAGAAGGGAGCTTCTTTCAACCCTCGTGTTTCTTTCTGCCTTTTTTTCCAGCCGTTGGTGGATTTCAGAGGGTTTGGGTGCCTCTGGGGTAGTCACGCCGGAGCCGGTGGCCATTTTGAGGGTGCCTCGTTGCCGGCCGCCATTTTGAATTTCGTATCTTTCCGATCGGGCTGCGAGGCTTCTACAGGCCCATAGCGGGACCGACAGGCCGTGTGGAGCCCGGATTTTGAGGGTAGAGTGGTTCAGTGCCCGGTTACCCTTTGTATGGTTATTATTGTTGGCTTTCTGTTCTTGCCCGCAGCTCGCCCAGAGACTCAGGCACTCACTTCCCATTTTTGTTGGGAGGCTGCCTCAGGAGGCCCACCTTTTTTTGCCCTTTGTTGGTTATTCTTATTCATATTTTTTTCCTTTTTCCTGGCCTCTGCGTTCATTTGGTGGATTGGTTATTTAGGTTTTTTAACTCCAAATTTATT